GAGTTTAAGAGGTCCGTTTCTTGATTGTTGGAATCCATATCCCTTGGTTCTGTAAGGTTCTATAATGGAATATCAGTTAAGGTTAACATGTTATTATTAATGTTATATTGCAATTTCTTTAAAATTTGTTTGCCTGGTTGCCGTGTGTGGGGTGGGGTGTGTCTCCTTATCAAACCCGGCTGGCTTTTCCAGATGGCCCCTTGTGATAAGGTGTAATTCCTACTTCTCCGCGCTGTGAGAGAGACAAAGGTGGTCGGGGTTGCTTGGGATATTGTTTAAACTCTTTCGCAAGTTTGCCCGTTGTCTCATTCCTTCTCGATAACCTTTGATGTGACTCGGTATTCCTGCTCCAAGCTTTGTTTTAACAGTAAAAGTATTAAAGGTGAAAATCATTTGATAGCGAATTAATCATTGGATAATAATTCACTGATGTGTCTGGTGGCCTGTTCTTAATTGGAGTGAGCGTTAGGATCACTAATTTTATCTTATTCTTGTTGTTGCCTTTTAATTTTTTTTGTTGTTTTACTGGCAAATAAGAAAAAAAAATGTATACGATTTACCCTGTTGGCGTCTCCGTGTCTACTCTCTTGGTGTTCTGACCTCGGAGGGACCTTTCCTAAGGGGCCCATCAAACTTGTTCATCTGGAGATTTTCGCCGATAGCTGTTACATCCTCGCCTTGAGAGTTTTATTATTTCTTTATATATATGGCCTGTTTATGACCGACATCTGGTTTTTCGTGTTTCTGGCTTACGGGTTTTATTCATTATTAAAAAATATATATTGTTTGTCACGAAAGAAAGAAAAAAGAAATCTGTGTATGAATCCGTAAATATTCTTATGGATATTAATTGTGGAAAAAGGGGCCGTATACAACAGCACTACGAAGAGCGATTTTGCAGTTATTCAGATGGACGAGTCCATCTATGTTCATAAAAGAGGAGGGGTTACTCCGACTACACAATTCGCAAAGCTATTCACTCCAACCATGAAGGAGGACTCTCTTGAGGAGCCGTTCAAAACCATCACTTTACCCTACATTGCAGGGATCACAAAAAAGATCTTCAAAATCTTGAATAAACACAAGATCCATGTCCGATTCAACACATTACATAAAATCCGTGATCTGGTTCCGTCTGTAAAAGATGTGATTTCGGACATACAGTACCCTGGCGTCTACAAACTAAGTTGCCTCTGTGGTAGTAGTTACATTGGAGAAAGCAAACGACATTTCTTGGACTGCATTCGTGAACACAAAGCAGACCTAAAACACGGTAGAACCCACACCTCGGCCATGGCAGATCACTTATAATTCAATAGGCTCACATGACATTGACTTCTCCAAGACAGAGGTTCTTTGCAAGCCATCTGGCTACCATGAGAGATTCGTTCATGAGGCTATCCACATATACAAACACAGAGACAATTTCAACCGAGAAGATGGATTCTGGCTTAGCAATCATTGGAAGGATTTGATTAACCATTTAGGGTCTTAATTAATTGTTCACGCTTACGGTGGCTTTCAGACCGCATCCATTATTTTCGTCTCCCCCCTCCTCTTTTCCGAACATAGATGGACTCGTCCATCTGAACAAACTGTCAAATCTCTCTCCGTGGTGCTAACGTTAAAAAACGCCACTTTTTTCAAATTTTCTTGCTGTGGTTTTCACACCTGACGATGATTGCTTGTGTTGCAGTCGAAACGTCGTGATAATTTTATTGTTTTATATTTTTATTATTTTATTGTTTCCCTTCTACATGACTTTACCGAAAGAACCAAGAATATGAACACCGGACTCGTCACAAATGCACGGCTTCTCGCCCATGTGCTAGGGTTGAACAGCCCCCCCCCCCACCCCAGACAGGGACAGCAGATTCTTGGCTGTTGTGGGCTCGTCTGAACCACTTGCACCGCCTTCTTTCCCCGCCGCAGGATGGTGCTCGAGCTAGCCCTCCTTGAGCTCAGCTCACAACTGGAATGTCGTTTCTTTGCCTCTCGTGTCTCTGCTGCCCGACCAGACAGCCCCACTGAAGCCCACACAGGGGACTCTTTATTCACGACCCTTGGCCGTCTTGACGCTCTCCGTGAAGTTTTCCAGGATGGAGCGCACATTGTCCTTGAGCCGCTTGTTAAACGACTGCAGCAGCGCCTCCTTGCTCTGGGGCAGCGCCCGCGACATCTCGGGGCAGCAGCAGTGGAGAGAGCGTGATTCTCTCTCAGGGCAGCAGTGGACGGAGCACGGCTCTCCCTCAGGGCAGCAGTGGACAGAACACAACATTGCCTCAGGGCAGCAGTGGAGAGAGAGAGAGTCTGGCTCCCTCACGGCAGCGGTGGATAGAGCGCATCTCTCCCTCAGGGCAGCAGTGGACAGAGCGCGGCTCTCCCTCAGGGCAGCAGTGGATGGAGCACGCACTAGGCCGCTACGGTAACTGGAAGCCTACGGTCTTACCTAGTTTTTCCCGCCGGGGAAAGCTCACCTTACCCGATTAAAGCACGAGGCCGTTATGGTAACTGAAAGCCTACGGCCTTACCTAGTTATGCCCACCGGGAAAATGCTCACAACCACCAAAACACAAAATAAGCGACACCGTTACACCACAGTAGCAAATCACTACTGGATAATCAATTGCCCGCAACCACAAAAATACCACCGACTAACAATGGCCCTTACAACACACAAGTAGTATAATCACGTCACTCTCACACGGCACACACACTCACGCAGCTCAAACAGCTCATTCTCACTCACATTCTCACACATTCTCACGCACAGTTTACACTCGCGCAGAACAACTTAGTTTGTAGACTCCAGGATATTGCATGTCAGGAATTACATCCTTCACAGCTGGGATTAGATCACGGATTTTGTATACTGTACTGAATCGGACCTGGATCTTGTGTTTGTTTAAGATTTTGGAAATATTTTTGGTAACGACTGCTATGCATGGTAACATTATGGTTTTGATAGTCGTCTCGGGGGGCTGTTTCTCCATGGTTGGAGAAAGAGCTTTGCGAATAATGCGGTCCGAGTACCAATTCATCTTGAGGGCCTGGTGTACGTGTTCCAGTTCACTGGCTAGGTGGTGTTGTTCAGAAATGCAGTGGGCCCTATGGTGTAGTGTTTTGATGAGGGAATTCTTCTGTGCTGGAGGTGGTGGGAATCAGGTTTCAGATAGGAATTTGTGTGAGTGGCTTTCCTGTAGACAGTCGCAACGAGCCATCAGGTCTCTTCTCAAACAAAACATCCAGGAATGGTAGTGTACCATCCTTCTCCACTTCCACGGTGAATTTGATGGAAGGGTGTATGGATTTAATGTGGTTAAGAAATTGGTTCAATGCTGGCAGGCCATGTGGCCAAATGACGAAAGTGTCATCTACATATCTCTTCCACAAGGACTTAGGGTGGATGTCTGGATGGCATCTGTGAAGGATGTCATTCCTGACATGCAATATCCTGGAGTCTGCAAACTAAGTTGCACCTGTGGTGGGTGTTACATTGGGGAAAGGAAACGACATATCTCGGACCGTGTTCGCGAGCACAAGGCAGATCTGAAACACAGCAGAACCAATGCATCTGCCCTGTCTGACCATTGCTATAACGCTGTGGGCTCTCATGATATTGTTTTTTTCCCGATACCAAAATACTCTGCAAACCTTCGGGCGACTATCAAAGTTTGTTCATGAAGCCATCCAGATATATAAACAGACATAACTTGGATACAAATTGAGCAATCATTGGATGTTATTAACCAGGTAAAACCTTAACTACTTTATGGTGTTGCCTTCATATCCGCATCTCCAGTTTCTTCTTCAGCCTCCCACTCCCAGCCTCGCCAAATTCCCCCCCCCCCCCCGGCACACCCCCCCCCTCTCTCTCATACCCCCTCTCTTACCTATATAGCCACTTGTCACAGTAGCCCTTTTGCCTACTTCAGCAATTGTACCTTGCTGTGGTTGTCCACCTGATGATGAACGCTTGTGTTGTGCCCGAAATGTCGTGACTTAATTTATTTTATATCTACGTGACTTTACCGAAAGAACCAAAGAGTATCATGAACTGGGTTGTACCACATAAAACTGACGAAACATCCACATCTTCTCGTCATTAACCACATCCACACCACACTTTAACATAACACTCATCAGTTTAGACATATACTTAACTAAGTTTAATTTGAACGAAATTATTTATTTGTATGCTATTGACGCTTGTAACGATTACGTCCCTTGCAGTTCCCCCGACATGTAAACAAACTAGCGAGCTGACCGAGGGCCTGAGGCGTGTTTTCACTGTTCAGCTAAGGCGCGTTGTTTTCTTTTTTGCGCAGCGGCTGATTTCAGTTTCAAATACCTTCGTATTAATGTCGTATATGTCCTAAGATTATATACACATAGATACCACACTCCCATTAACTACTGTGTTAAAATAGTAACCCCATTTGAAGGCGATAATATAGGGCAAAAATCGCTAACCTTTGGTTCTTTCGGTAAAGTCAGGTAGGTAGATGACGATTGCTTGTGTTGCGATCTATTATTTTTCTACCTACGTGACTTTACCGAAAGAACCAACTAGTATGGATTCCTGCAGTCACGAAAGCTTCAAATCAAGCATAGACAGCCAGTCGTTCATATAAGTTGAAGGCAGAATAGTACTATAGTAAGAGCAAGTACAGAATCACTGAAACGGAATTTATAGCTTGAAAGTGCGGGGCCCATAGCAATATGCTACTTTTGCCACTAGGATAATCCGGCAGTGACCACGGGGAGAATAATGCAAATTTCAAATATACAGGCATCAGGGTCGGGATCAAACCCACGACCTCCTGTATACCAAGCAAAGTAGTTAACATCTTGCCACTGTGGCACTCCACCGTGGAGATGGAGCGATATCAGCTCATGGACAGGCGTAATACGAGCTTCGTGTCGCAGGACAACCATGTGGAATGCCAATGATGATGGAAGGCTCATCCAAAATGCTTGATCAGTGGAAACAAGAAATCCACTGTCCAGCACTTTATTCTTATAGATGGCCATCGATGTTCATGCTGCGTAACTTTAACAATCAGCCGACAAAACACAGGTGTTGTGCATCCCGAGTCAACCAGCAAGACAACCAGACGTGTCACCCATTTTTGTTACTGCTGCATTGCTTTTAACAGCAAAAAAACACTTCAGAAATGTTTTGGTGTATTTTTGGTTTAATGCAATGGTCAAATAATTATTAATTTGTTTGCATTCTACACAATGTAAAATTCTCACAACGTAACCTTTATTCATGGTGAGCATGCACCTCCATGTCTAAAAAAGACAAGGGTATACGCAAGGCTTAACACAACACAATACAATTTTAAATTATCTGTTAAAAATGGGGTGGTCTCGTTGTGTGTGTGTGTTGAAGTCGGGTCGGTTGTTCGGGCCAATGAGACGTGGTGGGCACAGACACCGCGTCACTGTGGAGTCCCACTCACATCTCTGGTAAATGGCTGTCATTTCAAAGGGCACAAAGCCACAAGCAGGCGCACACAACGGGGCCTCGAGAACAAGGGAAGAATATTGGTCAAACAGCAATTACCATACAAGGGGAATATCAGGACCTACAAACGACACTTGTTTCACACAGTGGATGTTTAATCTCCCGTGATGTTAAATAAAATATAGGAGGGCTCGAGTGCTGGCTGCGTGTTCCAAATTTGTCACAAGTAAAAAAATGGCACTGAAAATTACTCAATTGGGATTACATGTAGCAACATTGCCCCTTACTGCAAAACTACTGCAGACTGAAACGTAGCGATATTCTTGCACTGAGATTGGCACAAATACCGAATACGCCAATGATTTAAATTGACCATTTAAGTGTATGTTTGTATATCCATTAAATCTTTATTTAAATGGTCGGTGTATATGTACGAGTATGAATTTCAAAGTGAAAGGGCAAAATGTATGTGTGAAGACCACGTGAATGCGTATGAGTGAGTGAACAAATGCACATTCATCTTTGCACAACAACCATGCGTAGAAATATTACCCAAGCACAGGCTTCAAAACAAACGCGTTTCACAGAACATTCCCTGCAACCAGCACCATGAGCTCCTCTTCACGCATCAAATCTCTGACATAGGCCCCTCCAGGTTAATATGCTAGGTGATGCTTTCAATGGGTGCCCCGTCATGGTGGGTTCTGTCTGTTGCCTGTGTAGTGGAGTAAATACGCGCATGGGGGTAAATGGTGAGATCGAGCGGGGGCAGGACAGTACGGGTCAAATTGGGACAGACAGGTGCGATGGTTGGGACGATGAGGTAATGATTAGGCCAATTAAGCCAGAGAACCAGCGACGGCTGTGATTGGCTGGTGTTGTTGTCAGGGCTGAAGTGGCGTCATAATGTCTGGGCAAGGAACAGGTACACGAGGACGCGGAGCGTCGGTGGGACGCGGGCTAATTAATTGGGGAATAATGAGAACGGGGATAAATTGGGGAGACGCGGATTGAGGGAGTGGTGATCGGGGGCTGGAGACGGAAGACAGAAAGCTGGGCAGATAGCGGAGAGCAGAGATGAAGCAGCCAGCAGTGGAGAGAGCACAGTGATAGCGGAGAGCAGAGAAGCAGTGATAGTGGAGCTAACGGAGAAGCAGAGATAAGGAGAGGCAAAGACGGCGAGTGAGACGAGCAAGGCGCGGCGAGCGAGCCGTGGCAAGCAGGGGAACTGTGAAGTATTGAGGGCATGTGGAGAACTGTAAATAAAGTGGTGTTGGAAGAAATACAAAAGTTGTCCGAGTGAAATCAACCACTACACCTGCACCGAATGCGAATCCCACACACAAAGCAGACTGCATTTGGCGAGCATGATCAAGCCGTTGAGCACGAATATCACACGACCACAGGGAGAGGATGCAGTTTTATAAAACGTATGACCGGGTCAGCGTGGGGGTGCATAAAGGTATAGGAAACATGGGAATTCCCTCTGCTCCCTTCAGGCACAACACACCGAATGACGGGGCGAGTGTGCGCACAGTGCATCACTTCCCCAGCTGCTCCGGCGTGCTGAACGCCTCGTACACGTTCGCCGCAAAGTTGCGCACGGTCTCCATGGTCAACAGTTCCTAGAAACATAAACGGGGAACAGGAGCAGGCCTTAAAAAAAAAAAACAGGCAAACTCAAACTCTGTGTGCCTATGTGTGTGTCTCTCTCTGCTTGTGTGTCTGTCTGTGTGTCTCTGTGTCTATGTTTTGTCTCTCTCTCAATTTTAGCAATCTTTGGAAGAACGTAATCAACCAGATGGGGTGTGGACTGATTTGTTGGCCGACTATGTGTTGTATTGCCCTATATTTCCAAGTTTACTATGTTTGTTTTCTCATTCATTTGTACCTGATGACGGTTGCTTGTGTTGCAATCGAAACGTCGTATTCTATTATTTAATTTATTTCTCAGTGACTTTACCGAAAGAACCAAATAATATATACGTTTTGTCAAACATCAAATCTGCATTAACCACATACTCGTGGCAAGACAATGCATATATTATCAGATATTTATTTGCATGTTTTGCCACAAGTACGTGTAGTTAATGAAGACTTGATGTCTTGCTAAAAGGTATCTATTTGGTGTTTGAACATCTTTACACCTGTTTTATTTCCAGAAAGGCTAAAAGCTATTATTTGCCCCAGTCATCACAACATTTTTTCTCCAAAACTGATGCCCACATTAAATTTTCCATTGCGATTTGTGACACTGCTCGTAAAATGTCAGTGATCGATAATGCCCAGTATTATTTAACCAATAATGTCTGGTATTATTTAAATAATGCCTGGTATTATTTTAACAATGTCTGGTATTATATTCTTAGTTTTTTCGGTAAAGTCACGTTGAAGAGAAACAACTAAATAATAAAATATATATAAAACAATAAAAAATTCTCACGACGTTTCGACCATAACTGAAGATGACCGTTTGAGTTATGGTCGAAACGTCGTGAGAATTTTTTATTGTTTTATAAATATTTTATTATTTTGTTGTTTCTCTTCAACGTGACTTTACCGAAAAAACTAAGAATATGAATTACTGCAGTCACGAAAGCTTTAAATCAAAATTTAATGTCTGGTATTATTTAAATAATAATGCCTGGTATTATTTAAATAATAATGCCTTGTATTATTTTTATAATGCATGCAATTATTTTGAAGCCTGGTAATATTTTAATAATACCTGGTATAATTTTAAAACCCAGTTTTGTTTAACACGTAGGCATTCGCGACCAACATTTTGGGACCCAATAACTGTTAATTACCCAACCAATAATATACATCCATTGTAATGTATATGACTACATTAACCCCATTCCTTTGGTCTTTGCACCTGATTGGCTCACATGTGACATGACATTTAACCCTCTATTTACAGGGGAAACGTCATGGTACTCGAATTGTAAATGTTGTGGGGTTTACTCTCGAACGCACCGGTGTGCTGAACTAGTCACTAATTGCCACGTTTTGTTTATGTGACAAACCGTACTAATTGGCTGTGTTGGGTGGTGGCGGGTTTAACGACACATTCATATTTATGCAATCTAACCCAAAAAACCCCTTTATTATTGAAAACCCAGTTTCTAAAGTTACTTCATAAACATGCCCCCATGAAAGAGATTAGGCTTAGGGGCAATAGGCCACCTTGGTTTCGTGCATTAGTTGCCAAACTGATGAAGTCTAGAGACCATGTGTTGACCATTGCCAAAACAAACAATCGCTCTTTTGATTAGTCCAATGACAGAACCCTAAGAAATCGTTGTACAAGATAAATAATAAACACGAAATACAAATACCACCGAGATGCTCTTCTCTGCTCTCAAAATGACCCAAAGGTCTTCTGGAAAATTATAAAAAGGTTTTAAATAAAGGTAACCATCATGGGATTCCTACTGGACATCTGTGAAAAAGAGCGTCACAGCTCATCAGATTCCTCCAGTATAAATAAAGATTCTGAATTTCGGGGTAAAACCCTGGTTGATGAACAGGAAATTATAAATAGCCTACATTTTAATTCTGGTCTACCAGATCACATTTCCGAGTGCGCAAGTCAATGACCCAAAGATCAGTGGTTGCACTCATCAGGATAAGACCCGAATGTTGATGTTCAAAATAAACGACTGTCCGCCATCCCATGGAGATTGAGTTTTCTTTGACAGGGTATCTAAAAATCAACGCCCTGCGCAATGTTATGAAGTTGAAAATGTGTTCACCCGAGAGTGGACGGCATTCCCGCGTTCGCCGTGAGCGGTAGTGGGCGACACGACCTGCAGATCTCTCACTCAGTTGTTGCAGCTTACTCTTTTGTAATGGAACGTCCCAATTATGAGAAAGACTGCTCTTGTTCATCTGTTGCATACAGTCGATCCAACAGAAGATCCTAACAATTGTAGGCCTATACCGATTCTATCAACACTTATTCGAGTTTTTTAGACACATTTTAAGACTCGCATAGTTCGTTTGATCTCAAAATACAATGTAGTCAATCATAGCCAGGCTTTAGAGAACAACTATAATACAACCACAGCAGTAATTATGGCCATTAACATTGTCAGAAATCAGGTCACGAATCAATTCTCAAGGGCTTTATTCCTTGAACTCTGAAGTTTTAAAATCTGTTGATCAGAACATTGGGTTAAATTCCCTTGCAGAACTAGACTTATTTGGAAGTGCCATATACTGGTTAAGTAGCTACCTCTCAGACCATCACCGGAATGTTTACATGTGTAATGGTTCGACAGAGGTGCACACACTCGTGTGGAGGCAACACTATTTATTTAACACAACTGCAACACAACTGCAACAACACACCCTATACATAAGGTGGTGATCACCGTCCTACTCTCACTAACACTCAGTACTACTTGGTGTGGCCAAGCCAGGAGGCTACTGCTTGGCCACAATGACTGGAGGCTTGTGTCTTCAGAGTCTTCATACAACGGCTTCATCCCAGGCACCAACAGCCCCACTCTGCGCGCTGAGCCCGCTTATAAGCCACTCCGGCGTGGCCGGCCACGCCCTGGCCACGCCCCCCTTCTCGAACCCTCGAGAAGGCGACACTGCCTGACCACATGACCCCCGGGGTCCCTCAGGCCCCCGGCCCCCCTCTTGGATCCGGTCACGTGTCCAGCCGGGGTCACTCGGAGTGCCATAGCCTGACACAACCCCCGTGGCACTCATCAACAGCCTCCATACCGAACAGGCAGTGACGTCACGCCTGCAGATCCAACATGGCAGTGATGTCATGTGAATACAGGCCCGACATAGTAGTGACGTCATATATCACTACACATGGATAATATAACATCCAATAAAATCTCACTGATAATGGTCAAGGGAAAATATTTACACAAAAATGGGTATCAAACACTGAAGTCTGAGTTTGATCATTCAACATCATCTGATCTCCAAACTGGTTCCAAACGCTGTTCACACCAAGCAAAAGCTCCTCTCTCCCCATAGCTTCTCTACACCAAATCCCATTACAGTGCAGACAGAAAGTTTGTAATTAATTCAGCACTCTCATTCAGATCCCATATTGAACAAATGTAAATTGGTAATCTCACAGACACATATTGTTGGCCAATACAAATTCGTTTGGATATGATTAGAGTCACTACCGTCCTTCCACTCCTTGATGATTGTGACAGCCAACAGGTTGGAATCTACAACTGTCATCAATAAGCTACATCCTCTTTGGTTATTTCGGTAAAGTCACGTAGTAATTAAAGCTTTCGTGACTGCATACAATTACTCATTGTTTTTTTCGGTAAAGTCACGTATGTAGAAATACAATAAAATTATATTAAAACAAAACAATCACGACGTTTCGATCACAACACAAGCGATCTTCATCAGGTGTCAAGAACAAATCATGGAAAGAACAAATCATGGAGGTAAATACAACAAAAAAGATGAGAGACGAGAATTTAACAAACCTAAAAAACATTATGTGAAGCACAACCAATCAGGCAAACAACACAGTTAGACACTTCCTGGCGGACCACGAATTTCAGAAGAGTGTTAAATTTCGTGTTCAACTTCTGGAGTGCAAAAAACCAGCATAGACAGTGAAAATACGAGGTACATGGTCAGTAGGAAAGATGGACAGAGAGAGAGGGACGAACTGCAGCTTAAATAGGAAATAAGGTGGGGGGGGCAGAAAGAGAGTGGCAGCTCATCTTGCGGCAGCTCAAAAACAGCACATCTTGCATATGCACAGAAGCGGGGGGGGGGGGGTGGTGGGAACAGGTTTGGGGTGCATATTTAGGACAGAAATGCAACGGTAACTTCCCCGTAGAAGTGTGTTGATAAGGTAATTAAAGCTTTCGTGACTGCATAAAATTACTTTCCTACTGACCATGTACCTCGTATTTTCACTATGTCTATGCTGGTTTTTTGCAATCCAGAAGTTGAACACGAAATTTAACACTCTTCTGAAATTCGTGGTCTGCCAGGAAGTGTCTAACTGTGTTGTTGGCCTGATTGGTTGTACTTCACATGTTTTTTAGGTTTGTTAAATTCTCGTCTCTCATCTTTTTTGTTGTATTTACCTCCATGATTTGTTCTTTCCATGATTTGTTCTTGACACCTGATGAAGATCGCTTGTGTTGTGATCGAAACGTCGTGATTGTTTTGTTTTAATATAATTTTATTGTATTTCTACATACGTGACTTTACCGAAAAAAAACCAATGAGTAAAGTCCCGTAGGTATAAAATAAAATAAATCACGACGTTTCGGGCGCAACACAAGCGTCCATCATCAGGTGGGAAAGCATGGTCTGCTGCTGCGGCAGACTGTTTTAAAAGGTTTGAAATGGGTGTAGATCAAGGGTCATGAGCTTGTAAATGCCATTAGTTAAAGCTATATGTGACCAGAACTTGGGAATGCCATTTACAGAAAGACTATTAATTTTAAATGGGAGATGCAATTCTAATTCTTTTCAGTATAAATTCCATTATAAATGCCATGTGAGAGCTCCTATTATGAGTGTTATGCGTAACTTGGTTATTTTGGATTGCTCACTGTTTTTCCAATGTACATAGTTCTGGTTATTATTTATAGTCATGTTTATAACATTGCCTGCTGTTGCGCTAAACAGCCTATGTAATGTGCTGGCTACTGAGATGGAGCACGCTCATGTGTATACATAGAGGTCTGATGCAACATGTTATGCATATGTATGTCAGGTGTGCTTATGCATATTCATATGGATAGCATATAAGAACTAGCACTAGGGCATACTGAGAACTCCTTAAAGTCTGTAAAGTTACCAGATTAATTCAATGTGTTTTTACGTTATACAAGGCATAACGTTACAGCTACTGTCGTACCAGCCATTCTGTGTAGTCCCTGTAAACATTCCCTAGCAATGTAACTTGATTGCCGCTTTGACCCGGTTGCCACTGAAAAAGAGCATCTTAGTTCAATGGGCCCTACCTGCAATCAGCCGTACGCCCACTGACCTGCACGAAGTGGTTGGGCGCGTCGCTGCAGACAACGTGACTCTGGCCATCAAGGATGGGGATGACCTTTGCGAGAGGGAGCCACTCTGCCGAGATGCTTCGCACAAAAAGTACAAATATGACGAGCGATAAAGATAATCCGAGTATAGGGCATTTCCATTACTATTTGTATACGGTTTTACTTTAGTTTAACACGTAGGCTTTCGCGACCAATATTACTCATAATAAAGGTTTTTGGGTTAGATCGCATTATTTATAAATGTGTTGTAACCCTCCACCACCCGACACGGCCAATCAGCAAAAAAGTGTCACGTTGACAAAACACAATTAGTTCACTACTTTAGCCCACCGGTGTGTTGAAGAGTGAATCCACAACATTTACAGTTTGAATATGACGTTTCTCTGGTAATTACATCCAGCATCATCGGGCAATTCGCCAGAATGGTAAAGCCCTCACTTGCTCCCGGTCTTATATAGAGCAGCAGGGTGACGTCATCATTTAACTCATTCAGGTGTAGTAATTATATAATCGATTGGTAATCAGTCAATGGTTATGATTAGTAATGAGTTGTAGATTAGTAATTAGTTGTAATGTGTGATATTTTGAATATATGCTACGTTAGTAATCCGTTAATTAGTATGTGTTTCCCCTATAAGGAATTGTAATATGTATTATTTAATAATACGCTTCCAAGCTGCACTAAGCCTATAGCTATCAGAGCGATTAAAGTTATTTCTATTTCAATTTCAATGGATTCTCTAATTAGTCTTTGCCAGTAATAATTAGTTTTACACAACACTTCAACGTTATCAAAATCAATTGAGTGTCCTTGTTGACAAGCATGTTCTGCCATTGCCGAAAGTTGTGTTTGAGATAATTTAATATTTATTTAGTGTTCTTTTAGTCTTATGTTACGTCCCGTCTGTCCAATAGAGCATCTGCCACATAAACAATTCATCCGATATACACCTTTTGTTGATAATTTAGGTAATTCGTCTTTAGTGCAAGATACTAGTTTTTGAATTTTGTGTACTGTACCAAATCTTACTGTAATGTTTTGCTTTTGCAAAACACGGCTAATTTGTCAGTTACTCCTGAGATATATGGGATTTTAATTGATTTAACAATCTGATCGCTTTCAGCAGTGTTGCTTTGCGATCGTGATTTAGCATTCAGTGCTCTTAATTTGAGTATTATTGTAGCCATTCTGTCGTAATGCTTCTTTAACGTGTTTGATCTCTCTCACTAGACTCTCATCATCTGACACTGTTTTAGCCCGATGTATGATCGTCTTGATAAGAGAGGATTTCTGAGCTGGATGAAGATGCGAATCTGCATTCAGATAGGCATCAGTGTGCGTTTGCTTTCTGTAAACGCTGTGTGTTATTTTACCATTTAGGCCATGTCCAAGCAAAATATCTAGGAACGAGAGTGTGTTATTCACCTCCATTTCCATGGTGAACTGGATGGCCGGGTTTTGTGCATTGAGATGATTTAGAAAATCATTAAGAGTATCTTTACCATGTGGCCAGACAACCAAAGTGTCATCCACATATCTAAACCAAAAAGGTGGTCTTCTTTGGTTCTTTCGGTAAAGTCACGTAGAATGAGAATAAAATAATATTATTATATTATTTTATAATTATATTATTTTATAATATTATTATATTATTTTATTCTCATTCTACGTGACTTTACCGAAAGAACCAAAGAAGACCACCTTTTTGGTTTAGATATGTGGATGACACTTTGGTTGTCTGGCCACATGGTAAAGATACTCTTAATGATTTTCTAAATCATCTCAATGCACAAAACCCGGCCATCCAGTTCACCATGGAAATGGAGGTGAATAACACACTCTCGTTCCTAGATATTTTGCTTGGACATGGCCTAAATGGTAAAATAACACACAGCGTTTACAGAAAGCAAATGCACACTGATGCCTATCTGAATGCAGATTCGCATCTTCATCCAGCTCAGAAATCCTCTCTTATCAAGACGATCATACATCGGGCTAAAACAGTGTCAGATGATGAGAGTCTAGTGAGAGAGATCAAACACGTTAAAGAAGCATTACGACAGAATGGCTACAATAATACTCAAATTAAGAGCACTGAATTATTCTCATTCACGTAGAATGAGAATAAAATAATATTATTATATTATTTTATAATTATATTATTTTATAATATTATTATATTATTTTATTCTCATTCTACGTGACTTTACCGAAAGAACCAAAGAAGATGAATCCTTGCAGTCACGAAAGCTTTAAATCGAAACAAAAAGATGGTTTTAATTTGCTCGAGGCAGGTGCTCTTATTTCAAAGTTTTCCATGTACAGATTTTCTATAGCTGCTCCTTCCTTTTGTTTAAGGAAATCCCCTCTCCATAAGGAGTAAGTGTTATTTAAACAATGGTCAGCAAGTTTTGGAATATCTTTAGGTAAACCTGTATTCTTTACTAGTGTATCAAGTAATTTAAGCGATTCGTTCACTGGAACCTTAGTGAATAGAGAAATCACATCAAAACTTACCAGAATATCATTAGGATTAAGTTTAATATCTTTAATCACATTCACAAGATGTTCTGAATTTCTTATGAATGAAGATGTCCTACCGATGTAGGGCTGTATTTGTTTAGTTATATATTTTGCTAATTTATAAGTGGCAGAGCCAATTGTACTGACTATGGGTTGTAATGGGATGCCGATTTTATGAATCTTTGGTAGCCCATACAGTCTAGGTGGTTTTGAGGCCCTTGGCTTAATTTGGTATTGCTCATTCTTGGGGATTAATGACTTTGCAATTATTGCAGTAGTCTTACGTTCTAAAGTATTAGTTGGATCTCGTTTAATTTTAATGTAGGTACTTTCCTCTAGTAAATTTCTAATTTTATTATCATAATCGGCTCGTGACATCACTACAGTAGTGTGGCCTTTATCAGCTGCCAGGATTTTCAGAAAGTAATTATGTGATTTTTTTTGCAAACATAACAACGCTGAAGTAAATATTCAGTGGCCACCACATTAATGTAACCGCATGTTATCACCACTTCCTTCTGCCAGATCCTTCCGTAGTTGTGTGCAACTAGTAAAAGTAAGAAAAGCCTCCTAATGGCCAATGGTACCCACACAGAATAGTAACAGTGATTTTGTCATTACAGCATCACTCATGCCAATGGCATCCACAGACTCAGGAACAACCCAATGCTCAAAGTGCCACAGCCACCAAGCAGCAGACTGTGGATGACATGTGGAGAGAGTGAAGATGGCTGTTTCTTTTCCGCCTACTTGCCACTGAATTAGCTTGAACAGCATCAATGGTTCGATTCCCACACCTGAATTCGGAAAGATTATGGAGGTGGTGGAACGTACCCCATCATGTTCCGCCCTCCGCTTCCGGTGATCTGATCCTGCCGAAAAGACTCCGCTGCCCCATCAATGAGACGCAAAAAGCCTCGGTCCAGACATGCACGTAGCACGGTCCAGAAATCCATGCTGTGTACGCAGAGGGGAAGTGGGGAAGCACTGCTAAGTTTGCATGGTCGCTCAATGGCCGTTACCTGTCCATCACGTCCCTCATCTCACTCAGGTACAATACACAAAGTGCTTGCCACAAATGAACCACAATACCTTGCTGAAGGAAAGGTCTTCTTTCCGATATTAGAAAGCCATTGGAGCTATGCACTTTTAAACAGATTGAAAACTCATTTCATTAGAACTTATTTTTGTGTTTAAGTTGTTGTCATTCCCTCACACCTCCGATGAGCACGGTTGGCTACGTACGGTGCGAAAGTTCAATATACATACGTACATCATGTCCCCTCATCTCCCTCAGGTCCCCACACTATTACCTGTCCATCATGTCCCTTGTCTCACTCAGCATCTTCTGGGCAGTCAGCTCTTCCTCCCTGGAGCCACACACCTGCACAGTAACGAATGCCAAGATATAATCTTCTGTCAGCATCATTATCGTTATCTCCACACGTGATCAATGTCATGTTATATTAAAAAACAATCGTCACCGTGTTTTTTTGTTATGTACGTATATAATAACAATTGCCAAGAAAACGCTAATTCTCAACCTCTTTCAAAGGGGTCCTGCATTGAGTTGCTTGCCCAAATTCATGATATAGTATTGTGTCAGGAAACCAGCGTACCCTGAATAAAAACTACTTGCTGTACTGCAATCTCCTGGATATGCAGCGGATGAATAATATTTGGAGTTTCACAAATCTATGATATTCATAATCCCTTTTCAGAATGATAGCCATTACATCACCATGTCACAAATGTAGCCTAGTTTTATTTTCTACATAAGACATTTAGGGATTATTATTTTTCTACTTGATCTGGAAGAGAGTGGTAGGAACATGGCTTGGGGACAGTGGCACAGGGGTAAAAGTGGAGTTACCCTAACATCGTCAAGCACTACCACAGCCGTGCTAATGGTGAGACAGCAACTAGAAGATGCCAAGATCCTGAAACGTATTTCACCATGCAACATATTTAAGCGCGTACCCTGAAGCTCTGTAACTCTCAGTGGCATAGCTACCGAGTGTGCAGACACCGCTACTGCACCACCCACAGGCCGCAGGGCCCAGGTGCTGGGGCTAGGACGGGAGGGGACAATGCCCCCATTAATTTCCTTACACCAGGTTCCAAGCCAACCACACCGGACCACTGTACAGGCAGTCCTTGACTTAAGAACGCCCAACTTACGAACACCCACACTTACGAACCAGCTTCCATGAAATTAGTTGTTTTAACATTAACTTAAAACATGCACTCTCACTTGCAAATTGAACCACAGCACTATTTTGTTCAGCTGAGAGATCCTCCGTGAAATGTAATGAGTCTGCCTCATGCTGGGGGTGAGCGTTTGTGTGTGGGCATTTAAATATGGTAGATTACTGTGTTCCGACTTAGGAACAATTCGTCTTAAGAACGGGTCTCAGGAACTAATTGTCCGTAATTAGTTTGGCTTTCTATATCACACCGAGACAAGCAGGCCCTACAGAAGTAACTTAGAAAAGTTTCCTCGTGGAAAGCAAGGGGTTTTGGGGACAAACCTGTCCATCTAGTACGTCGTCTTCCGGAGCCAGCATGAACTTCCCAAAGCCGCTGAGCTCCTGTCGCCCGTCGCCCTCCACCAGGGTCCTCACGCACGAGATCATCCCATCCAGCTCGCGCAGCGTCACACTCTGCCTCAGAGACACACTGGGATGGGCGGCATGGAGCCGCTGCTGAACGCAGCCAGGGAAAGCCACGAGCACCTACGTCACATGTGGTTACCTGGTCCGGCTTTGCTCAAAACAGCACTCGAGCCATGAATCCAGAAAGCGGCTTCGTGTGCCATGGTGCTGCTGCGAGCGGCCACTCTGCACATGTAGCGCAGCTGTTGTGTGGAGACTTTCCGCTCTGTCATCATGTAGTGGGTACAGACGGAGACTCAGGCTTACTATGGGAGGCAACACATTTATTAACTTAACACCAACACTATTAACACAAAGGGGTAACTGCCCCTTTACCAGATAACCTATGGTGGTGGACCACCAGGCTAACTACTCTAACACTCTGAGTTAGCTACAACGGACCGGATCCCAACTCGGGTCCGGGTCCGTGTGTTAGAGACTCCTCTTCTGGCGTAGAATGTAGATTTCTTCATGAAGACAACAGCAGCCAGTCCCACTGGCGACCCAGCTTTTTATCCTGTGTGGCGGGGCTCGCTCCGCCCCTAGCCACGACCCCCTTCTCGAACTCTCGAGGAGGTTCTCCACTGGATACGTGGTTTCCCCAGCCCCCCCTTTGGGGGTCCCCGGGTAGATACCTCCGGTCACGTGTCCTCCGGGGTCAACCAGAGTGCCATGGCCCCTTGCAAACCCGTTCCGAGGCCGGCACTCTCGCCCCCTATCCTGTAGGGGCTGGCACTGCACGTTGAGCGTGATGCCATTCCTTGACTGTCGGACAGTGCTGCCCCAGCTCTGCTCGGGCCGGTACTGCATCCCCCTTCAGTGGTGTTCTTGGTAGTAATATATTGCATGGCATGCCTTTCCCAGGCTGGTCACACACAGCGACGTGCAGCGATGTCACTACAATCGTAATAATCCTAATGTAAGAGTTTTTTTTAAAGAAAACATTTCAGTAAATATTTTTTTAGGTGCATTATTTTACTGTCGAATCCATCCAACTCACATGGACCAGCACGGTGACGTATGATAAATAAACCCCCGCGACCTGCACGGTGTGGAAAGGCACTCATCTGGCAATGGATTGACAAAGGGCTGTGTAGATGTACAAGAAGACAAAAGTATATTCATCATGGATACAACAAATGGGGATTAATTTAAAAGTGGTGGAATTGAGGTACATGTGTGAGTTGGTGTACACGGGGAACCCGTACCTGCCAACGACAGACTGCACGGCGTGTTTCACCTCCGTGGTTAGCTCGCTCAGCCCTGGGGACACAAACAAAGGCTTCTCATCCCATTGGTAATCTGGTAACACACGACTAGCTACCCACGCAGCAACATCTCATTCTGTACGATTGTATAATCTATAAACACACGCTTGGCGTTGAGCAATTCTGCATTTCATCTCATTATCCAGGAATTTGCCCTTCTAAACTTAAACAAGGATGGAAGAACACCAAACCGAAATCTTTTACAAGGAATCATGTCCGTATTAATCATAAAACTTGTGGTCAGAATGCAAACAACAAACGTACTCTGATAATATATGCATTGTCTTTGAAAATGATTGGTCCACACCAGAGACAGCTTTCTTTTGAGTCTCGTCTCAAAACGGTGTTAGACCAGAGGACGCCAAAAGGTGTCCTCTGGTCTAACACCGTTTTGAGACCAGAGGACGCCAAAAGGCAACGATATTTTAATTGCCAAAAGGCGTCCTCTAGTCTAACAACGTTTTGAGACTGGGCTCAAAAGAAAGCTGTCTCTGGTGTGGACCAATCAGTTTCAAAGACAATGCATATATTATCAGAGTACGTTTGTTGTTTGCATTCTGACCACAAGTTGTGTGGTTAACGCAGACATGATTCCTTGTAAAAGGTTTCAGTTTGGTGTTCTAACATCTAAACACCTGTCTTGTTGCCAGAAAAAAGGGGAAAACCTATTCTCATATTTTGGTACTGGCAAAGGAGGTCCCATGATGAAAAAGGATGGAAGAGTTGTACACTTAATTTTGTTATCTTACACATTCAGCAGACAGCAGAAATGGAGGCTTGATTTGTTTAAGTGTGGAAAAAAATTACTCCATGAGGTGTGCACCTCTGTGTGCACACGTGTGAGTGCACACCCCAGTGCACATGTGTGTGTGTGCACACCCTAGTGCATGTGTGTGTGCGTTTGCCAACAGCACTTGCTCCGACAGTCTCTGCAAGCTATACGGGGGATCTTTGTGTGCACTCCCCACCGGTTAGCGCGCTGCCCTGTGAACCAAGCGACCAGAGTTCGATTCCAGCTCACAGCCAACACCAGTGATGATGATCTGAACCCGTGCTGGGTTTCTCCTAGGTCGACTCAGCCTTAAATAAGTACTTGGTGAGGTGTGTAAACATCACCGCTCGGGAGACAAAGGTGGCCGGGCGTGGTGCTGGCCACCCAACCTCTCGTATGGCATGCTTTCCTTCATAGGTGCTCGCTAACAGCACTTGCCCCAAGAGTCTGTTAAGACTATACAGGTGATCTTTGTGTGTACACCCCAGTGAGGTAATGCATTGAGTGCATTGTTGCTATTGCACGCACTGCACCCCTAACAAACTGCTGGAGTTCAGTGGACACCTGCAACCAGTTACAAACACAATTGAGACCGTAAAACAAAACAAGCAACACAATGATATTTTAATTGCCAAGTTTGTATCATTCTATTTGTGTTGGTTAGAAGTGGTGCCCTGCAGCCATCTCCCTACCTGTGCTTTTTAATGCAAATAAAGAGTAACACGTTATCTTTGACAGATTTAGTGCGAAAGACAAGATCGCAAGGAGGCCAAGTGCAGTGTGGCAAAACTTGCAAACACAGCACTGTTCACATACGGTTCATAGTTAAAACTTGGGCATAGAGGTTCGTGTTAAAAGGCGAGCCTATGCAGGCACTGCAAAATACATTTCTCGATGCACAAAACACAGGGACAGTGTCACAAGTGCATCCTTGACATCGTGTGCATAATCCGCATCACAGTTGGCTGGTTAACATGAAGAGATGAACAGCAGCATCTTCCTGGAAACTATGTAAGTGATTTTACAAATGTGTATTTTTTTATTTTTAATAGATATATATTATGTACTGATAATAAAATAATGTAGCGAGACTGCTGGATGTTGCGTGCATGCAATGTGGCATCACAATGCAAGCAGTGCCCATACCATCCCCCAGCAGGTACTGGATGGAGGAGAGGTAGCGCTGCTGTACCTCCATCGGGACACGAATGGCCTGGCGCGAGACAAACACAGTGGCATCACGCCGCGCACTGCTCTCGACTCGCTCTACACGCACTGAAGAAAACCCATGTCTAGGCAACAAGTCTGCATGGCATGTGCGCGCCACCGCAAGGCAATGGCCTTTTCCCGCGAGAGATGTGAATGCAATGTTTCCACGACCACCGCAAAGGAAGCCACCACCCCCGTTTACGAGCGATTAACGCAGGCTTGGGTTGGAGTGCCACAAGCAGCCTTTGCGGACTGTGTGAGCACCAACCCGGGCTGCGTGGCCCACGCTTACCGATGCCACGAGCCTCACTTTGCTAAGGGGGCTACACGCTTTAATCTGGGCTGCCCTCAGGACCGGTCAGTGTCACAGAGCTAACGCAGAAGAGACACAAACTGGCAAGGGCAGCTCTCGACACCGGATCTGATTTATTTTTTAGACCCACGACAAGAACAAAAACTATAATCTTTAACATGAAACACGTCAACACAAGAAACATAAATATCATGAAAGACCACTTGCTTCTCCTTCCAGCTGACAGGGGGGAGGGAGAGGGAGAAGAAAAGAGGGGGGTGGGGGAGAAGGGAGAGAGGCAGGGAGGGAGGGAATCAAACAAGGGAGGAAGGCATAGAAACACAATCAAACTGGGTCCGAGTCTGAATCCGTCGACGGTAGCACCAGAAACCTTTGTGCCCCATTCTGCCCCTTAAGAGGCTCGAAGGTAAGGGGGGCAGAAGTTGTTCTCCTCTCCGCCGCGCAAGGGGGGGCGGTGTAGTTGAGGGCAGGGTGGGGGGGCGTGAGGCCAGTACCCAGCAGACCGATTAATGGCACGATGGATGGTCGTGATCCAGATCCACCCCTGGGGCGGGAGGTCTCCCGCATGACCCCAACTGCCCGCTGGCGAGCGCGGAGGGTAAAGGAAGAGGGATAGAATTGGGTAACGTAGGTCATACGGGTTCTCCCACATAGCCTAGGCGGAGCTGGCGGCAGAGGGGGCAGATCATGAGGGGCTCGTCGCACACGGGCACAGGAGGGCCAAGGGGGGGCTAGGCGGGGAGGGAGGGGAGGGCCCCCCCCCCCCATCGCCCCACTAGGGGGAGAGAGAGGGCAGAGCCTCGTTTTTATTTTAAACACGAATGGAAATGGTTTAGAGACAGCAAACGATAACTGAAGCATAATACAAATAAAATGGCTTTTTCTTATATTTATGATTGTGATCATTGTCCTCCATCCAGGAAAGGAGCAGTGCTGGGTCACGACAGGAATCGCAAGGCACAGCTCAAGTCGGATTTATCATGGCTGTGCAAACATAGCGTTAGCGTAGGTATCGACACAGGTCAAAAACAAAATGCAATACACATGTTGCACAATCAAAGTTAAATATTTAGGTCAAAGGCAATGGCTATAGAAGACACTTGGCCAATGTTTTAATCACTTCGGGACCGAAAGCCAGAAGCTCCAAAGTCCATATCACCAGCTTTTAAACCACAGCAGGTACACAGTACTGTGTGCTGCTGTGACTGAAAACACTTCAATATATAGAGAACTGCAGAACTTGGCCAATTGCTGGTGTCAGATCACTGCCTGGCTGCTGTCTTCCAGCTCGTGTCCGCAGCTCCTCGGCGAATTTGAGATGCAATTTCCGTAAACGATGCTAAATAAAAAACAAAACAAACCTATCTGTCCCCAGACGACCTGCTTGTCAGTTTTGATGTAGTTTCCTTATTCACCAAAGTTCCTGTACCTGACACCATCGCAATCATTGAAGACTTGGTTCATCAAGGACTAAACACTGAGGTACCCCCCCTGGTGAGACACTGCTTAACCAATACATATTTCACTTGGAATGGAACTTTCTACAAACAAACTGAGGGCACCCCAATGGGCTCCCCCCTATCTCCGGTTATAGCCAACATTTTCATGGAGAAATTTGAGACTGACGCCATCCAGACTGCCACTCTGCGCCCAACCTTATGGAAGAGGTACGTGGATGACACTTTTGTCATCTGGCCACATGGCCGGCCTGCTCTAGACCAATTCTTCGACCACATCAATTCCATACACCCAGCCATCAGATTTACCATGGAAGTCGAAAAAGATGGCAAGCTACCTTTTTTTGATGTCCTAATAATAAAAAAGAGACCTGATGGTTCAATGAGCGACTCTGTCTACAGGAAAGCTACCCATACGGAAGCTTATCTTAAACCGGATTCCCACCATCATCCATCATAGAAGAATTCTCTCATCAAGACTCTGCACCATAGAGCCCAATGCATATCCGACCAGGAACACATAGGCAGTGAACTCAAGCACGTACACCAAGCTCTTAAGGCTAATGGTTACTCCGACTATACAATCCGCAAAGCTATCACTCAAACCATGAAGAAGGACCCTCTTGAGGAGCCTTTCAAAACCATCACTTTACCCTACATTGCAGGGATCACAAAAAAGATCTCCAAAATCTTGAATAAACACAAGATCCAGGTCCGTTTCAACACATTAAATAAAATCCGTGATCTGGTTCCGTCTGTAAAAGATGTGATTCCGGACATACAGTACCCTGGTGTCTACAAACTAAGTTGCCTCTCTGGTAGTAGTTACATTGGAGAAACCAAACGACATGTCTCGGACCGCATTCGTGAACACAAAGCAGACCTTAAACACGGTAGGACCAACACCTTGGCCGTGGCAGATAACTGTTATAATTCAGTAGGTTCACATGACATTGACTTCTCCAAGACAGAGGTTATTTGCAAGCCATCGGGCTACCATGAGAGATTCGTTCATGAGGCTATCCACATATACAAACACAGAGACAATTTCAACCGAGAAGATGGATTCTGTTTCAGCAATCATTGGAAGGATTTGATAAACCATTTCTGGTCTTAATTGATTGTTCACGCTTACGGTGGCTTTCAGACAGCATACATTAATTTTTCGTCTCCCCCCTCCTCTTTTCCGAACATAGATGGACTCATCCTTCTAAACAAACTGTCAAATTGCTATCCGTGGTACTAACGTTTAAAAATAAATAAATACAAACCGCCACTTCTTTCAAATGTTCTTGCCGTTGGTTTTCACACCTGATGATGACTGTTTGTGTTACAGTCCAAACGTCGTGAGAATTTTATTGTTTTATATATATTTTATTTTTCGATTTAAAGCTTTCGTGACTGTAAGGATTCATCTTCTTTGGTTCTTTCGGTAAAGTCACATAGAATGAGAATAAAATAATAAAATAAAACAATGAAATTCTCACGACGTTTCGGCCACAACACAAGTAGCCGTCCTCAGGTGAAGAAACAGGACTGTCCAGAAGACAGCGCTTGAGTGAACCCTGTCAAGCTTGACAGCGTCTTTTAAGCTGTGTGGGAGGAACAGAGAGCCTTGACAAAGGAGCATGTAACTGGGAGATTAGCATTACGGAGAGCGAACGAGCTGGGACTGGAGGAGGAGGGAGGGGGAGTTTACATATAAATTAGCATGTAACTGGGGGATCAGCATGATGTTGGTGTGAGGGATTAGCACCACGACGAGCTCGGACCGGGGGACGGGGGGAGAGGAGTTTACATATAAATCAGCATGTAACTGGGGGATTAGCGTTGGTGTGAGGGAGAGAAGAGCACCAAGGAGAGAAAAAATGGCGGTTTTTCCCATCTCCTCAACAACCAGCACCAAGGACAGCGACATTCAGGCGGACGGGTCAATCCATACTTGGAAGGGAGGAGGGGGGAGGGAGAAACAGTCACAATGCCAGCGAAAGAGCTGCGGTCTGACGGTCACCGCAAAATACAATTAAGAACATAAATGGTTTAAAACATCTTTCCAATGGTTACTAAGCCAGAATCCATCCCCTCGGTTGAAATTGTCTCTGTGTTTGTATATGTGGATGGCTTCATGAACGAATCTCTCATGCTAGCCGGTTGGCTTGCAAAGAACCTCCGTCTTGGAGAAGTCAATGTCATGTGAACCCACTGAATTATAACAGTGATCTGCCACGGCAGAAGAGTTCGTCCTGCCATGTTTAAAGTCTGCTTCATGTTCGCGGATGCGGTCTGAGATATGTCGTTTGGTTTCCCCAATGTAGTTGCTACCACAGAGGCACTTTAGTTTGTAAACGCACGGGTACTGTATGTCTGGAACAGCATCTTTTACAGATGGAACCAGATCACGGATTTTATGTACTGTGTTGAATCGGACCTGGATCTTGTGTTTATTCAGGATTTTAGAGATCTTTTTAGTAACCCCTGCAATGTAGGGTAAGGTGATGGTTTTGAGTGGCTCCTCAAGAGGATCCTTCTTCATGACTGGAGTGATGGCTTTGCGGATTGTGTAGTTGGAGTAACCATTAGCCCTGAGAGCCTGGTGTACGTGTTTGAGTTCACTGGCAATGTGTTCCTGGTCGGAAATGCATTGAGCTCTATGGTATAGAGTCTTGATGAGGGAGTTCTTCTTGGATGAATGGTGGTGGGAATCCGGTTTCAAGTAAGCATCTGTATGGGTAGCTTTTCTGTAGACAGAGTGGCTCATTGAGCCATCAGGTCTCCTTTTAATTAAGACATCCAAAAAGGGTAGCTTGCCATCTTTTTCAACCTCCATGGTAAATCTGATGGCTGCGTGTATGGAATTGATGTGGTCGCGAAATTGATCTAGAGCAGGCTGGCCATGTGGCCAGATGACAAAACTGTCATCCACGTACCTCTTCCATAAGGTCAGGCGTAGAGTGGCAGTCTGGATGGCGTTAGTTTCAAATTTTTCCATGAATACGTTGGCTACAACCGGAGACAGGGGGGAGCCCATTGGGGTGCCCTCAGTTTGTTTGTAGAAAGTTCCGTTCCAGGAGAAGTATGTGTTGGTTAAGCAATGTCTCACCAGGGGGGGTACATCAGTATGTAGTCCTTGATGGACCAGGTCTTCAATGATAGCGATGGTGTCAGGTACTGGAACTTTTGTGAACAAGGACACCACATCAAAACTGACAAGCAGGTCGTCTGGGGACAGGGAAATGCCTTTGATTGTCGATACTATGTGAGTGGAATTTAGTACCGCAGAGGTGGTTTTTCTAGTGAAAGGTCGCAGTATATCAGCAAGAAAACGTGCCAGTTTATAGTTGGGGGAGTTGATAGTAGAGACGATGGGACAAAGGGGTGTATCTTCTTTGTGTATCTTTGGAAGGCCATATAATCTTGGAGGTCTGGCAGCAGAGGGTTTCAACGAGAACTGTTTGGTCTGATCAATTAATGCTGTTGAATCAGAGATTATTTTGTTCGTTTTGGTAACCAGGCTGTTGGTGGGATCTCTTTTTAGTTTTGTATAGCTGTCGTCGTTGAGCCGTTCTTGAATTTTGTTGTTATATTCTGTTTTGTCCATGATGACAGTGGCATTGCCCTTGTCGGCTGAGAGGATGACAATATCATCTCTCTTTTTTAATTGGGATAATTCTAAGCGTTCATCTTTGCTGATGTTGCTAGGTGGCAACTTAGCGTTTTTGAGGGTTGCAGCGATTTCAGATCTTGCTACGTCTGCAGAGATGTGACTCAAGCCCTTGAGTGCAACGTCTACATGGGCAATGATATCATTAACCGGAATGTGTCTCGGTGTGACAGCATAGTTTAGGCCTTTAGCTAAAACGGATTTCAGGCCATCAGAAATGGAACTGTTACTGCGATTAATTACGACTTTGTTAACATCTATCTTTTCGGTGTGTGGATCAGTTAGACAAGACACTCTACAAATCACACTTAACATTGACAGCAACAATGTCTACATCGGATTGGGAACATGTAGACAATATGACTACCTCTTCGGCTGCCACTATGTCGACCAAATGTAGGGACAATTTGATTGTCTTCTGGACAGTCCTGTTTCTTCACCTGAGGACGGCTACTTGTGCTGTGGCCGAAACGTCGTGAGAATTTCATTGTTTTATTTTATTATTTTATTCTCATTCTACGTGACTTTACCGAAAGAACCAAAGAAGATATTTTATTTTATTGTTTCCCTTCAACGTGACTTTACCGAAAGAACCAAGAATATGAATCACTGCAGTCACGAAAGCTTTAAATCAGGTGTTAAGATGTTAAAACACCAAACTGAAACCTTTCACAAGGAATCATGTCTGCATTAACCACGCATTCTGTACATCATTAGGTACAGGTATTAAAGGGCTTGCACGAGGATGTAAGAAACGTAGTATCACAATTATCATTTTAAGGCATTCATGGTAGCACAGCTGTTTATATGACTCAAGGAGCATTCTGATGAGTGAAAAATAATGACAAATCCAACTGGTGCATGTGTGCGGTGCTGGAGAGTCGCAGCAGTGTTAATTAAGGGAGTGTCTCTGCAGTGCCTCCCTCACAGTGGTACAAAGGACACTGTAACGTCTCTTAAATGGTCAAAGGGCAAGGCAGGTGCACTGGCATTTGAAATGATAAGGCTGGGTCTAATGCTCATCTGGGTAGGGCACACCTTAACAAGCCTGCGTTCTTATATCTAAAATCGCATGGAAAGAGGGAGCCATACTTGAAAGAGATTTATAAAACAAATGTCTTCCCTAGTGGCGTGTCAGGCAATGCGCAGGTAACTATAACATTTGGCATCAGGTTCCCCCTTGCATCACAGGAACGAGCGGACATCCTCTCGCTGGGAGAACACACAGCAGTCTACCCCCACACTCGTGTGGGTTCTAGGTGAACACTGAGCGGGAGCTACACGCCTCCTCACGTCTGCAATGTTGTGAAGTCCCAGCGCGTTCAGGTGCGAGATCCACAGTGCGTCACATGCGTGGGCGGTCCGTGGGACGTATGCACACTAACGATTATATTGTGAGAACTTCCATTCAGAGTTAAGGCTGTAGGAAGTCAGTGAGGTGTGTGTGTGCCCCACCTCTGGACCCTGCGTGCTGGAGATGGCGTTGTCCAAGTAGATGTAGCCTCCCACTACGTTGAGTTGCACTCTGAGCATCACCACCAGCATGCACGCTCCGTACACGGCCACCACGCTCCGTGCGAAGCCTGCACAACCCATGCCGCATGAATGCACAATTATTTGGCTGCTAGAAATTTCCACGTAAGCCACTTCGTTGAGCTATCATTTATGGGTCTGCTTGTGAAAAAGAGTTAATAACTCAGTGGGCTTCACCTGGTACATAAACATACAATAATTTGTATAGGTTAGTTTAACCTCTTCACATGCGCATGAAGCCAAGCCAAAGCTGCTATTATTGAAATCATAGGAGATGCATTTCTAGCTGCTATTTGTGGCTCTTCTTGTTTCTGAACCAAATACAATATGTATTTTTTACCTTTTGAAATATCTGATATGTATTGTCAATCTCTCCAGTGGCTACATCTGTTATTCCAAGCAATATGCCGAGTATTACCTGAAAACATGGACCCCCTTATTAATTTGTGACTATTCGGCAATGCAATGCATGGAAAACATGTCAGGAAGGCAGACAATATAGATGCAATGTCACAAAGCCCTATAACTGATTTCACATACACAGAGTCTCAACAGGCTACCCAAAACCTTTAGACGAATGAATAATCACTGCTGTTTATACGATTACTGCATTGCTGGAAGGAAATGGTGGTTTTAACTACACACAGAAGTGTGCAGCATCGCACATACAGAAGCTCTCGGCCTTAGAAAGAGCACCAGCTCATAGGAACTGAATGCGTGGTCATTTGGTCGTATACACTACCAAAATTACCACAGATTAAGTTAATTTGAGCTGGTGGTCTGGATAAGCTCATATACATGCGATGCTGCACCGAGTGTGTTGTTAAATATACGTGTTTCCAGCTTGTACTAATCTTTTCTGTTGCAACCGCATTTCTTTTGTCATTAACATATTTGCCGAGAGTTGAACCTCTCCAGTAATTACTGGAGGAGCTCTTGGTTGTAATGCGGCCTTGTGGCTTGGTCCACTGCTAAATGCAAATCCAGCAAACCCTCACTATGCGCAAGTTCTGGATTAGCGAGTTTTGCATAATCGCGAGTTATAAGGTGTATACTAATTCCCTATTCACGATATGCCAGACTCCCGTATTTGTGAGTGTATGGAGTGCCTAAAGACACCGGGAAGGTGTACACAGAATGTTACTACATTGGAAATTGTCTGGAAAGATTAGGCATGCCCCCTCGGCTGCCCGCTTAGTCCTCAGTCTAACAGTAATCCCGCTCTAAACTAGCTATTGTGCATTTTTACTTTATACGTACTTACAGTCGACTCATTTAAACATTTTGGTATAAACGAGTCCACTGTGAGATACATTAAAATCATGTAAATGCAATCGGGGAAAGTTTCAGCTAATGCTCAAAGTGCTAAAATGATAACTGTGCAGCGTTGTTATCAAGCACCTGCATATCTCGATGAGTCAATACTCCTGTTTTCCTCACCATCACCACCTACTCCATAGTCAGCAAATTATCATCATCAAAGGTAAAAAAAAATACAGTTATTTATACTGTATTATTTATTTATTGCAGTTATTGTTATTAAACATTTCCTCCCTATTTTCACTCATACCAGCAACTTAACCTCATTTTTTCCCATTGAAACAAGGTTTCTGCATTTGAGAATTCTACATTCGTAACCCTCACAAAATACAGAGGGCTTACTCTACAGAATACTGTAAATGCTAATTCACTGCTGGATGAGGGACTTGTGGTGCCGCCGCAGCGGAGCCGCTCCATCGGGGCCGTGCCCACCGCCGTGACGCCGCCACCGGAGAGTGACGACGCCGACGCTGCGCGCCCCTCGCCACCCCCCACATAAATACACACATACCCCACGTAGAGCCGGGAGGGAAGGTCACCTGGCCGACAGGTTTTCATCCAGAAGCCCCTAATGGGATCAAGCTTCATGGTTTCCTGCGGCCGGGAAATTGGGCAACCTACCCCCGAGGCTGACGTGCACTGCGGCGTCGTGACCTGATATTAAAATTGCATGGTCACAGCAGGGGCTATTGAGCCAGCGCGAGTGGAACCACACACACAAAACACGAGTCAGTGGGCGGCGAGCGGGAGAGCAGAGAGCGGACGTCGGAGAGATCACTGCGGCGACGTCACCAGCGCTGGGATCCGAACATCAAAAGGGCGGGAAAATCCGAGCCCCTGATTGGACGGGAGGCCAAGGGGGCGAAACGGCGGAATTCCTTTGTTGTAGGTGGGATACAGGAAGGGGGATTCAGGCAGTAAAGGTTAGAGTTCTTCAAGTCATCAAAGTCAGCGGAGTGTTGGAGCCGGCCGTTCAAGTTGTCCGTGTGACGAGCTTCAATGCAGCCAGGCACAATCCTCCACAGAGACGACCCACAGCATCGCCCTTCTACAGCCTCCGGCGCCTCAGATTGGAAGTCAGCGTAAGTAAGGGAGAGGTGAGTTTGGGTTAATTAATCAGAGGGTAGAAAGTGGAGTACCAGGCAGAATAAATTGAGTCCAGGATCCCCGAAGAATAGGCCAGTTAGGGTCTGCCGACTCACACAAACACACGTAGTTTAGCGGGTTATTCGCGGGGAATAAAACCGCCAGTAGAGGATAAAACTGTGTCGTGTGTTCGCTGTGAGTGTGGAAAGGGGGGTGCAGTGCTTTATGTTCGTGTGCATACACGGCTGTTTACGGCAAATAGGAGAGTGTAGCGTCTGGTGTTCACTCACACGCGTGGCCGTTTAAACGGCCTTTAAATCGGGGCGGAGTGACTCCCTCCAATCAGTGGCGCGCGTACGGTGGACACCCCTGCCCTCTAACCCCTGACCCCAAGCACTCGCGGGTGATTGGTGTACGGAGTCAGGCAGGTGGCAGAGTCGGGTTTGTTAGCGCCTGGGCACGTAAGGCGTGTATGCGAACGGATCCCGGGGGCTAAGCGCCGGCCGGGGAGTCACACGTCGGCGCGCCGCACCCCTTTTGTTTACGCACAAGACGGAGTTTTGCTTCGCGAGCGCGCCCACCGCAGCACGCCCACTACTAAGCCCGCATAGCACGTCGTAAACGTAAAGCCGTCGGCCCTACGGATTAAGACATGCCTACGCGGGCAGCAGCAAAGGCGGGAACACAGGGGGGCGAGGAGTTGGGAGTCGGTAGCCCGAACCCGACAGAGCAGTCGGGGAGTAGTAGTAAGAATGAAACAGAGGAGGCGGGGGACAGCAGCCGCCGCACCGTAACGGGGGAGTCTGGGGACAGTGGCCCCGACAATTCGGTGCAGGCGAGGGGCAGCGGCCCCCGCATATTGGCGTCAGAAGCGGTACGAACCCCCGTGTTACCTCACGCAAAAATAAGGCATATATTTACCGGCCAGGGGACCCCGTCATGGAAGGCGTTTGCCCGCAACGTTTTAGGGGCTAAAAAAATTAATGGGTGGACAGACGCACAGGCGTTAGAGCAACTGACCATACACTTATATGGACGGGCGGCTGACTTCACGGAAGCCCTACCCGCGAGCACACAAACCCAGCTAGCAGAGCTAATGCGCCAACTTGACTTACGGTTCGGCATGAGTAATGAGGAGGCAAAGACCGCCTTAGAGGCACGCCGCCGCCAACCTAACGAGGATTTGCGTGACTATGCCGAGGGCGTGCGCACGCTAAGGCAGCTCGCACGCCCAGGGTACACGGCAGAGGCAGTTGAGGACCTCGCGTATGTGTGAAAGACTTTCCAGCCAACTTGCGCAGCTCTGGGGGCCGGGACGAGAGCGAGCCATCGTGAGCCTGGGCCCAGAGGAAGAAGAGGGACTCACCCGCACGGTAAGGGGTCGAGCAAGAGAGTCGACGGAGCCCCGCGAGACAACCCCAGGCTGGGTAGCGGGGATACAGACGGGTATAAAAGATATACGGGATGAAGCGAACAAAAATGTAAAGACCATTCAATCCGAAATGGGTGAGCTACGCTCCACAGTGGGGGGACTGGCCGGACGGGTGACCCAGTTAGAAGCCGACCTTGGGCAGTTGCGTACGGGAAGGGGGAGAGGGGGTGGACAGGGGACCTCCTACGGAACCGCCCCCCGGGCATGTTACCTGTGCGACCGCCGAGGACATCTAATGAGAGACTGTCCTCAGATCGCCCGCGCTAGAAACGCGCCAGGGTTAAATGCCAACGCCCCCTAGAGAGTGGACCACCTAGGGGTGCAGTCAACGCAGTCCCTTTACAAGACGACGATAGTAACAATGGTGAGCGAGTGACCCCTACACAGATTCCAACCACAACACCCAAGGGCGCAGTGACGAGGGGCGACTGGCTACGGGAACTGGTGGCAGGAATCACGGGGGCCGCGTCGCTGGTAGAAGGACAGGTAAATGGGCAACGCACCCGCATGCTACTGGACACGGGGGCGGTAGCCTCACTCGTGAGCGCCGCGCACTGCAGCGTGCTCGGGGTTGACGTGAGCCGCCTGCGGGCCCCGGATCGCGCGCTGCACACAGCGAGCGGAGCCGGGATGGGGTTGCTGGGAAGGATCTCCCTCGAGGTCCGTCTCGGACACCAGGTGTGCACACAGGAATTCTACGTCTCGAGTGTGTTGTGCCATGAGTGTATTGCAGGTACGGACCTCCTGGAGAAACTGGGGCTCAACGTACAGCCCCGCCAGCGATGCGCCACGGTGGAAGGCAGCGGGGAGCGAATTCCGTTCCTAGGACAGGAGCGGAATCGCCCTCACTTCACACCCGTGGCCGCCACCCTGGTGTCGGCCGTCACCATCGGCCCCGCTCACCGAGATGCTGGTGCCCGTAGCAACACCCTCCACCGACCCCACACACCGACCATCGGGCGAGGTAATGCTAACTCCTCACCCGGAGTTTGCGGCGCGGTACGGAGTTGTGGGGTCAGCCACGCTGGTAAATGCAGATGGGGGCCAACTGTTTATGCGGGTGTTTAACCCACACAGTACCCTGGCAATGCTACGACGACGCACCACGGTAGCCACCATACACCCCCTGCACGCGCGCCACTCTAACGACTCGGTGTTTGCCCTCTGGGCGGAGGACCCTGGCCGCCCCGAGGACAACCAGGACCTGGCCTG